TGCCAAATGCATTCCACACAGCAAATGCAAAAGGTACATAAATTGTTTGGTACTAAAATGCTACCGAGAACACACCATTTATGTACAGCAACTTCAAAAGAAAGCATTTGCAATTTTTCAAGTATCTGTACTTGTATCTCTGCGGAGTGGCATTTAGGAGATTCAGGACTGGTCTCTGAATGAGGCATGAGATTTGAAGGCTATTAATAGTACAAACATGAAAAAGCACACATAGGTAACTCCTTTTAAAAGCCCTCCCTAACTACAAATTTTCAGAGACAAGGTATGAGTCCTCCTCAGATCTAGTTAACTGTCTTTTGAAGTCTCCAAATAGCATGTTTCTTTGCAAAATTAAACGTGCTCAGATAATACTGGTAGGAGCTGGCTTCTGTCCTTACTGTAGTAAGACCTACTGTACGTCTCCAAAAAAAATGTGAAATGCTTTGTTCAAGCAACTATTAGCTGAACCAGGCTGTAATTTTTTCTGTATCAGGCTTTACTTCACTCACAGGGCAGAAACCTGTGCAAGCCCTTGGGGTCAGCACCTGCCATTTTAAACTCTGAGGCCACAATTTGACATTATAACTGATCCAGTCTAATGGCCAGCTGCCACAAAAAGCAGCATTCATATCCTGGTACAGTCTTTTCTCCACGCTTTCAATCAAATCTAGTAACTGAGTGATCACAGTGTAAGCTGATTCAGCAACACACATATTTGTTTTTTCATTCATTTTTATCAGTAGGATCTTCGGCCATATGAGCAGCTGAATGGATGCATTTTGCAACCATGCAGCTCCTGGGGCCAATTCTCTGTAAGTGGCAAGAACATGCAGATGAAGAACAGAGAAAAAGCAGGACCATCATTTACTATTTGTGATGCCAAACCACACCGCAACACAAAGCTAACCAAAAACACTGCTGAAAATGAGACAAGAAGAACTTAAGGCCACATGCCACCCCACTGGAGAAGCTGAAGCACGGACTCTCACAACTAAGTCCTTACATCACACCGTTTGGCTGAAGACAGCGAGACGCCAAACAGACAAGGGTCTGGACAAGGGTCCACATCAGCGGACCTTTAGCTGAATTTAGGGCCAATCCACTTCTGTGAAACTACAGCCTCAGCTTACCTGGGAGCCACATTTGAGACACAGCCATATGTCTGAGGGTGCCACGGGCTCCCCGTCACTCATGCGCCTCTCCTTCAGACACTCTGCACAGATGGCCCAGAGGCTCTGCGCCACCGCCCGCTTCACATGCTGCACGTCCACCGCCTGCCTCACGTGCTGGCACGGCAAGCCTGCGGAACACAACACGCTCGCTTGTAGCCACTGAAAGGAACACCTACGAAAAGGAGCACGTGCAAACTAAAAGACCAGTTTTCAACTAATTCAACACTAGGGACAAAAAAGAGCCAAGAACTAAAACAGGAAAAAACAGCCAGCTGCTCCCCATGGCCGAATTTTATGAAGGATCTGTTTCAGACCTTCTATAATGAAAATCTTTTTCAAACGCCACCCCTTAAAAACAGATAAACTACTTTGTACAAAAGTACAAGGATTGCTTTTGTATAAAATTAATTTCCCTGTTTTTTTGTGTTTGTTTGTTTTGTCAACAATAAGATGCTGCATGCATCTATTTTTTTTGCATGTGACATGAGCCACTAATGTCTTTTTCAGCCCATAAAGATTTTCAAACACCCATGCACCCCTCCTACAGCTGCCCGTTCTGAGCATGAATACCAACCATCATTCTTGTCAGTCGTATTTTTTCACAAATTACCCTACAGTCTCACAAAATAACCCACGTTTGAAGGAAATTCTGAAGGCCATCTCATCCAGACCCTTATTCAAAGCAGAGCCAAATACAAATTTAGATCTAGTTGCTGATGGTTTTGTTCAGCTGAGTGTTGAATGTTCTCAAGGATGAAGGTTTAGCCAACTCACTATAAAATCAGTTTTGTCTGACCACCCTCACAATAAAAACAGAATAAATTTCCTGATACTGAGGCAAATTTTCCTTGCCCTAACTTTTGTCTGTTGCTTTTAGTCCTTTCACTGTGGACCTCCTAGAAGAGTCTGCCTCTGCCTTCTCTATAACCACCTATCAGGTAGTCAAAGAAAGAAACCATTCTTTCACTCCTCTGACTAAAGAAAGCCATTCCCTTCAGCCTTTCTTCACGAATCATGTTGTCAATCTCCTTGGAGAGATGAGTGGAGGGGGTGACCCCATTGCTGGAATCACTCAGACAAGTCAATGTCTTTCTTAACAGGGAGACCACAACTGGACACAATACTCCATATAAAGCCTAGCAGGACCCTAAAGGAACGGTGTACCTCACCCTGCCTCGAGTTAATGCAGTCCAGCACACAGCAGGCAGAAGCAGCACCACATGCTTTCATTCAGCATGTACACAAGGACCCTCAGGATCTTTTCTGCAAAGCTGCTTACAAGCTGTTGGCTGCGATCCTGTAATTGCATGTGGTCATTTTGGCCCAAGTGCTGAACAATCCACTTGCCTTTGCTGAACTCCAAGAAGTTTCTGCTAGCCCATATCTCCAGTCAGTCTAGGCCACTCTGAATGGCAGACCTACCCTCCACCATACCAGCTGCTCTCTTCAATGTGTTGTCATGAAAGTGCCAGAGCACAGCCTGGCAATGGCATCACCCAGCTCTCTCAGCACCTTCAGATGCATCCCATCTGATCCCATGGACTTGTGCACATCCAGTTTGCTTAACAGCTCTCAGTTTTCTACTCCGGAAAATGCTTAAATCCCGGAGTCTGCTGCTAGGCCCAGGGAGGACCAAATGCAGAATTTACAAGTGAAGGCAGAGGCCGAGGATAGATTGAGTTCCTCAGCCTTTTCCCGTGTCCCCAAGTCCCTTGCCCCCTCAAACAGCAGGTCTACACTTGCCTTAGCCTTCATTTTACCACCACAGGATCCATACAAGCCCACCTTACTCTACACACCCCCCATCAGATTCAGCTCTGAGGCTGGCTCACCTAATGCCATCCCTGCACACTCAAGGCTCCTGAAAGGGCAGACCGAACCTGCCTCCACCCTCTCTGCCTCCGAGCTCAGCTGGAAGCTCCCTATTCACCCAAGCACCTCCTGCCACGCATGCCTGACCTTCTACACACAGGAAAGGACCATTCTCCTGCTTCAAAGAGGTTGTCATCAAAGATCAACCAACTCTCCAGCCCTTCAGGGTAGTCACATAGTGTAACAACCGATCATGTCATAAACACTTGACTGGGGATATTTCTGTTGTAAATCCTAGCAAGAAGAGTATTTCATGGTACTGCTGATTTGCGGTTTTCATCAGTCAACACGCAAGTTATTAGCCCACAAGCTCGGGGCCAAACATCACCTAATGTATTTACCTGAAATATCATCTGAAGAGTCCTCATCCTGTGGCCTGTTAGGCCTTTTGCTTCTCTTCGGTTTCTCGGGGTTGGCCCTTGATGGATCTTTCACCCGCATCTGTTACTCACTAGGAAAGAAACAGAGGTTGCTGCATTGTCTAAATGCTTCATCAAATGTCGTATTTTTGAACTCTAAAAGCATGAGATCAAATCATCCATTCAAACGTCACAAACATGGTTTTAGTCTTTGACTTATATCAGCTATTGTGTAACAAGGAGCATGAATGTGTCAGGAACGACCTCTTCAGAATGCTGCAAGATCAGCGAGTTGCACTGCGTGACATTCTGAATTCTATCTGCAGCTACAGGGGGCACATGCTTCCAGCCAGTGGTGCTGGAGATGCTGGGATTTTCTTTATTTTGAGCCCCAAAAATATAATTTTTTATAAAATAAAAAAAAATTATTTTATATGAGCCCCAGTCATACCTTACCAGAAAAAAACTTCATCAAAATAAAAGCTTTTGTTCCATAACAAATCTCCCTTAGGAAAGGTTTCAGTCACCATTTACTCTTGTACATTCCCTAAAAGCTTCTGAACAATTTCAAACATTTTAATAAAACACAAAAGTCTTCCAAATCTCATGAAAGTGTCCTCTCCTATGAGTGAAGACAGACTGGAGTGTAAGCTGACCCCTCTATTAAACACCAGAGAATCCATACAGCCCAAGTCTCTTATAGGAAATTTGGGTCATTAATCAAGGACACTTATGAGGAACAGGATGAAAAGATAAATAATTGCCACTAAAGTAGAAGAAAAAAATATCCTCAGATATTTCAGCACACTGATCATTTAATCAAAATTCAAATGTGAATTCACTACAGGAGCATAGCTGTGTATCACACAAACAGCTTCTGAGGCTTAGTTTACAGATTGTCTTTTAACAATGTGTTTTTATTAATAAAAAGAAATTTATATTTTCATATAGAAGGCATACAGATGCAAGGCAGTCAAATATTCATACATTGCAAACCTATGAGCCATTCTATTTAGAAAAAATGTCTTGTGTGCCACAAACAGATCAATAATGTCACCCGAACCACCAGTACCAAACAGTTTGAACTGTGGTAGCTCATTTAGGTACAGCAAACCTCTAAAATAGCCTACATTTAGGAACAGCGAAAGATATATTCTTGCTTCAGATCTAGGTACGTTTCCAAAGTTTAAAAATTTGTCTCCTTAGGTTTTTTATCTTGATTTAGATGCACTTAGATCTTCGTACCACTGAATTTCTGAGAGACACAGGAATTGACCTGTGTATTAAGCTCCATACTCCCCCTCCTGTCTTATCCACTAAGCCAATCAGCAGAACAGTCATCAATATCCAAACCAGACTACCACCACGGGCACCGCCCTCACTGAAGTGAAGCAGGCAATCTAGACCTCAGAGCTCTTCTTCCAGGTTCCTATAGATCTGGACAGATGTCTTTGCATCTGCCACACATACTATTAGTGCTGGAGGTTTTCTGCATGAACGTATCAATTAGAGATTTGCTTTGCACAAGAAACTTTTACCCTACTTCCTTGCATCAATGGCTTCATGTCTCCTCAACCTTCCAAAACGCACTTCATTTTTTTTTTGCACAATGCTACATTTACATCGCAGTTTATACTGTATTAAACACTATATTAAATGTCACGATCTTACATTACAGATTTCCAAATTTCCTGTACTTAAGGGTATAAACCTTCAAAGGCATTGGCATGCAAGTGAAGAATGTCACTGAATTCAGCTTTGCTGATTTTGTAGGTTCATAATGCATGTCCTTACAATAAGAAAGATCTGAATATCCCAGCTTTTGTCTACAACAAAAAATATATATATATTCAACATATATGAATATATATACACACATATATTCAACAAATTTTAGCACATCTAATGTACTCCAACAGCTGTGCATCACAGAATCCCTAGAACGTGGAAAGGTGTTTCAGACCCAAACAACTTCCAACAGAGCACTTCTGCCCTGGCACCTTATCACATACCTCCAAGTTTCACATGAAACTACCCATCACCACTTGTCCCACTGATGCTTAACAGAGCACAAGATTCACCGAGGCGTTCATCAAACAGTGAGGCTGATAGAGTTGCTCTTAGAAACACATCATTTTACACTAAGTTATATAAAAAGTCCACAGCAAAAACTGCAAAAATATCCTCCCTAAAGGAATGCAGTTGTGTTTAGGTTGCTCAACATTGACATAAATGATCTACGAGTTCATTTCAGCATAACAATTTTTATCTCTTTGGACAGGTTACGTAAAACCGTCCAAACTGCAGATTTCACCCAAATGGAAGTCTTGTTCATATCAGTACATTTTGAGAGCTCAGATAACCTCATGAAAGATCAATTATGGGCCCAACCAGCTGAAGTACAAGCAAGCCTTTACCACCTGTGAAAGCCTGTGGCCCACAGGTCAGCTGATACGATTTGGATCAGGGCACACACGGCCCACTGCTGCACCCCCTCTCTCGGGTCCTTCAGGACACGTGGAAAAGAGGGAGTGTCCGCTGGTACCCACAACGACTGGAAACGTGGCGTTGCTAGCACAACATAATCACCCTGGCGTTAGAAATGAACACCAGCAGAAGCAGCCAGCCTTCACTCTGCAGGACTGGGAACCCACCAAACAACCCCAAGACTCTCCAGCCCTTTCCAACCCCAGTAAGAGCAGGCAGAACAAAAGGTAACACGGACCATTAGATTAATCGGTTCTCATGAACACATATAAACAGCCATCCATCAGATGATGTTTACTGACCTCTGAGCCCCTGGAAAAGCCACAGCATATCAAGGACCTAGCCTGGTTTTGAAAAGCACGTAAGTAGGATGAATGGGTAAGAATGACGAGCTGCTCAGCACCCATCCACAAAGCAAGTAGATACACAGTACTGTCTGCCCTTTTCCAGTATGTTTTGGGGCAGAGAACATTGCAGTAAAAGATCTCATTTAACACTGAAAAACATGACCATTTCAAAATCAAAATGTTTACACCAGGAATCTGTTTATTACATTTAATTGAGATAAACGAGGAAGAAACCCAAAATCCTTCAGAAGTTACTGCACAGAAATATTTGAGTTTATGGGGAAATAAAAGATTGAGATTTTACTGGAATGAAAACCCTGAACAAACACAGACCCAAGAAAGCATAAAATACAGCTAAGAAAAAAGCAAGAGAGAAATTCTGTAGGTTTCTGTTAACCATAGGCACAAGACATTCAGGACACATGGGCAGAGGAGAAATTAACGATTTACACAAACGAAACCTGAAGGTCCACTGGACCTGACGAGATGCACCCACGGGTCCCGAAGGAACTGATGGACAAAGTTGCTAAGCCACCATCCATCATATTTCAGAAGTCACGGCAGTTTGGTGACGTTCCCACTGAGTGGAAAAGGGGAGACACAACCCCAATTATTAAAAAGGGAGAAAAAAAGATGACCCAGACAACTATAGGCCAGTCAGTCTCACCTCTGTGCCTGGCAAGATCATGGCCAGCAGTTCAAAGGAGCTGACTCTCCCCCTCTACTCCACTCTCGTAAGACCCCTGGAGTATTGTGTTCAGCTCTGAAGCCCTCAGCATAAGAAAGACAAGGATCTGCTTGAGAGGGTCCAGACAAGGGCCATGAAAATGATCATGAGGTTGGACCAGCTACCCTACAAAGAAAGGCTGAGTTTGGGCTGTTCAGCCTGAAGAAGAGAAGACTCTGGGGAAACCTTATAGTGGCCTTCCAGTACTTAAAAAGGGCCTACAAGAATTACGAGAAGGCACTCTTTATCAGGGAGTGTAGTGACAGGACAAAGGGTAACAGTTTTAAATTGAAAAAGGATAGATTCAGAGTAGATATTAGGAAGAAATTCTTTACCATGAGGGTGGCGAGGCACTGGAACAGGTGAAGTTGTGGATGCCTTGTCCCTGGAAGTGTTCAAGTGCAGGCCTAATGGGGCTTTGAGCAGTCCAGTTCAGTGTCCCATGGTGTCCAATGGCAGGGGAGGTGGAACCAGCTGATCTTTGAGGTCACTTCCAACTTAAAACATTCTACAATTCTACAAAAATTAACTTGATACACTGAATATTAAAAACCATGGTAATACTCCCATAATTTGCCTCTTTCCAAACCATTCTCCTGTTTTTTTCAGTATGCTCAATAAGCAATTTGTGGCTACAGCCATCAGCTGCCGAACGTCCTAACGGAGTCAGACTCTTTTTCCCTGTGCAAAAAAAAAAAAAAGTCTCCATGAATCCTTGCTTGGAAGTTTCTTTTTGTGATGGAACACCAAATACATAAAGTTTTTAATTTTGTATACACCAAACCAAGTAACAGTGCAAATTGTATTTGACTAATGAATCTGACAAATAAAAAAAAATCCTGACTTTGTAGAAAAATCTGAGTTCAGAGGGTATGTTAGTTCCATCCTGACCTCTACCTGGCACACAGTAAACATCTTAAGTAGAAATTATGCAGTTTCATAAGGAAAAAAAACAGAGCTAAATCTCTTCCTTTTAAACAATCATTCTGTAACAAAGTAATAACTAGTCCATGCCAAAGCTTTTCAGATTCCCTGAGTTCAGCATACAAGACTGTGAAGTGTAATCATCATCACTTACTATTCTTGGTTTACTTTTTACTTCTTAAAAGACTCTTAAAGCCCATCTGCCTACTAAAAGCTGATTAAGAACAAAAGCTCCTCACTACAACTGCTCACTTCCACCTATTTAGAAAGAACAAACCATTTCAAAAGTAGCAGAATGATCTGCCCACCTAACTTCAACAGCTTCAAATCCGACAGTACCAATAATTAACATGCTAAATTTCTTAAGTTAAATCTGAGGTATGTCTAGACTATTTCAAATGCAAGGTCTGCAAGGTCTAGAAACTATCCCTCAAATAGTCTTTATTTAACAGCATTAATATTTCTATACTTAGAAATGCACCCTGTACATAAACTATTTATTTAGAAATTAAAAATGTTGGATCTATTTCCTAAAATAAATAATTGCAATTTTAAAAAATTTTATATTTTACTGGGACTCAGTGAAACTAGGACCAA